TTAAACTAAGGTAATAACCAGCACCTATAACACTAGTTAATATTGCAACTAGAGTCATAAATACATAACCATTATCTAATGCAGCACTTAAAACCATCTGTTTAGCAAAGAATCCTATTAGAGGAGGAACTCCTACAAATGAAAATAAAGTTATGGCTAAACTTATAGCAAGATAAGGATTAACGTAAAAGTAACCTTTTATTTGATTAATAAGTTGTATAGGTGAATTGTTGGCATCAACCAAATTTTTATATTCTTTCTTCTTATAAACATGAAAATATAAAGTAAATCCTATAGTTACTAATATTATAAACGCGTTTAAGTTTGATATAGAGTATTGTAAGATATAAAAAATATATGCTTGTATAGATTCCGCTTTATTTATAGTTAAGGCTAATAGAATAAACCCTACATGACTAATAGTACTATAAGCGAATAATCTTTTTATTCTAAATTGTGTTAAACCTAGAACAGAACCTATTACTAAAGAAAATAAACTACTTAACAATAATACATTTTTTCAGGAGAAGTTTAAATAAGAATACTCTGTATAGAAAACTAACTCTAAGAAGAAAGCAAATATAGATATTTTTGCCACTATAGCTACGTAAGTAGTAACTATTGTAGGTATACCATCATAAACATCAGGAGATCAGAAGTGGAATGGAGCAGCACTTACTTTAAATAAGAATCCTACTGATAATATAATTAAAGATAAGTGTAAGTAATACGGTTGGTATCAGTATGTAAGACTAGTTAAGTCTTCAATTTCACTTATACTGCTTATAACATATATATTATCTAAATTAGTAGTACCAGAATTAACATATAGTAAAGCTGAACCTAGTAATATAAAACAAGAAGATAATCCTCCTAGTAAAAAATAAGTTAATCCACTAGCAGTTGCTGATTCTGAATCTCTGTATAAAGTAGAAAGTATATATAAACCGTAACTTTGTAGTTCTATAGACAAGAACACAGAAATTAAATCAGCAGTACTCATTAAAAATACGGCTCCACATAAAATAAATACTATTATAAGTGCGTATTCTATTATACGGAACTGTTCTGATGTTTTATTTGCAATAGTATTTTTGTCATATGTTAATTTAGTAGTTAACAGTTTAAAAAAAGATGATTGTTCTTTAATAAATACTTTTCTAGGATAGAAAGCAGTTAAAACTAGTATTACTGCACTAATTAAAAAGATAAA